AGTGAATACATTTTTAATTCAATAATTTTTATTTAATTTGACCGTATTTTTTGATATCCGTGACATCAAAAAAATTATCTAAATTCAACAATTCGAAAAACCTGGACAACCAAATTGATAAAAATTTAAATTATAAAATGATCTGTCGTCAAAATTTACTAATGTATTGGGTTTTTCTTTCTATAAAGTGTTTTGGGTTTTAAAATGCTCGATTGATTAATCTTCGAAATATCATACGAAATGAAATTCGAAATACAGTAATCACTACATAGTATAAAACAAGGTGGTCCCGCTGTCCGTCTGTCCCTATGTATGCTTAGATCTTTAAAACTACACAACGGATCTCGATGCGGTTTTTTTAATACATAGAGTGATTCAAGAGGAAGGTTTATGATTATAGTATAATAATATGAATAGATTAATGAAAAAATAATGAATTCCATCAATCACTATCACTACATAGTATAAAACAAAGTCGTCTCGCTGTCTGTCTGTCCCTATGTATGCTTAGATCTTTAAAACTACGTAATGGATCTCGACGCGGTTTTTTTTTACTAGCTAGAGTGATTCAAGAGGAAGGTTATAATTATGTATAATACATTGCACCCGTGCGAAGCCGGGGCGGGTTGCTAGTAAAGGTATAATAATATAAATAGATTAATGAAAAGATAATGATTTCATTCAATATGTACTTATAAAATAGTCTATGCTGTTGATAAAAAGAGCATTTTTATCAACAGCATAGACTGTATGTATTACAATTATTGTGACAATGATATTATAAGTAATCTTTATCTGAAATCGATCAACCAAACACTAACTTTAGTTTATGACCAAATTTCTAGTACTTACATAAATAGACTTTCTTTTTTGAAGATCATTGGCTAGCATAAATTCATGGAAGGAAGCCGTATATTTAATATTATTGTCATATTTTTAAATTTTTTGTATTATTAGGTAGACTAAAATTTTAAAACATAATAAATGTCTTGTCTCATTGATTTTTATAATTATTGTCTTACCAAATCAATACTTTATTCTACTATTTTAGAGCAGGAAGCCTTTAATACAAAAAATATTATGCATAGTAAAGTAACGGTTACATGTTACAACCACGACATTCGATCAGACGACTGGTAGGTTTTATAAACAAATCGTAGCTGTTATTTTTGTGAGCAAAAATGAAAATATGATTTAAAATACTCGTTTCACAATTCAATGACTACGTGGCGCAGTTGACAAGGCTTCGGCGTCAGGCGTCTTGGGGTCGATTCCCACACGGGACAACTATTTATGTGGCCCACAGATATTTCTTTCGCATCTGGGTGTTTGTCTGCGTGAAATTTATGTTTGTAAAATGTCCTTACAACATAGGATAAAAAGTAAAGTAACAGCCTATACATATCCCACTGCTGGGCAAAGGCCTCTATACAGAGGGTATAAGGGCCCCACTGCGGATTGGCGGACTTCAGATATCTTCGAAATATTTTTTTTGTTATTATTTCGAAAATATGCAGGTTTCCTCACGATGTTTTCCTTCACCGCGGAGCACGTGATAAGTCAGCACTTAAAGTTAAAACCTCATTGGTGCCGGCACCGGGGATTGAACTCAGGTTGCTCGAGTGTATTGAATTAAAGGCGAGTGCCCGGATACTGAGCTATCACGGCTATAGGGATACGGATATCAACACAGGATAATTTTATCCTAAATTAAGGGAATTTTTTTAAGAAAAATAAAATTACAAACCAATATAAATCAAGAAGTGAACTAAATGTTACAGGTCTTATTTAAAATGAATATTTTGAAAATTTATTTATTAGCTTCAGTATAAAATTCCATGTATTAATTCACAATAAGTGTATACAAATTCTTCAGAAATAAAAGTATAAAAATAGAATTTCATAGATCCAAAACTATCAGTTGTGATACTTCGAACCAATTACACGTGTTTTGAATGACCTTTATGTCACTTTCATCAATCTAAGTTAGGTGGATTGTCGGCGCGTGTAACAGTTAACAAAGACCACCTTTGTACTTACCGCGCTCGTTTCAAGTACAGTTACCAGATGTACCGATTCTCGCGGAATATCCCGATCTTCCTTAGTCTTTACTTTGAGTTAGAAAATTAGAAAAATTGATACTTAAATTGCAAGCTAGTATTACTTTAGTATTTTTATTAGAAATTTTCATACTGTCTCATGGATTTGTAAATAATCAAATTAAGGTTTTTTATTTTCCAGCGTTGTGTGTCGCCTTGATTGAAGTAGTGAAATGGAATGGTTAAAACAATACAAATAAAAAATAACTTATAAAATACTTGCAAATGAGTCCAAAAGTTTCTAAATTAGGTAAGGCGATTAAATAGTCGAAACGGTTATGTTTGAATTTTGTGATATTTTAAAGAAGGTCAATTAGTTTCTTAAAGTGTTATTTGATTAGTTCTTGTAGTAGTCAATGGTAAAATACTATTAAAAGAAACCGAAAAAAAAAAAGTTTATTACTTTATTGCCTATTAAACCCCCGTCCTAATATTTTAATCAGTAGACATGGTAACCTTATTGTCGGCGCGGCAAAGTAGTCCTGCACAAACGTTGCTTATGTGTTTAACTACATAAGCCGCTTTGGTAGGTAAATAAGTCGCTTTCTTTGTGTTATTTAAATTGTCGAATCAGTTACTCTCCAGCCATTTAGGCATGAAGTCTATTTAATGATTTTTATTTTTTAATTATCGATTTATTATTGATAAAAGTTGTCACAGACATAGTCATATGCTCAGTAATTACTACATGATATTATTCAGTGCTGCGGATAGAACTACCATCGATTTATTTTGAACTTTACTACGAGTACACCAACTTTTGACGCAACTGTCGCTTCTACCTACGAATTATTTCTGCAAAGATGTTCTGGAGTTCGGACGTATGCGCGTACTATTTGACGCACACCAACTGCACCACAAGCATTTGCCACAAGCCGAAACAAGTGAACAGCAAGCAAGAATGCTGAAATAAATTTAGATCTGATGATCATTGAGTTAACAAAAAGGAGCTGGAATGAGCGATTGCCCGAAGCGCCTGACCGTGAACGCGTCGTTTGTTTGCAAATGAAGAAGCGCTCCGGTTTTATGGGAATTTTTATTCGGACTTCGGTGTGTTTTAAGTTGTGACAATGTCTATGTTCTGACATGCTATTACAGTGAAATAATAGTGGCCCGCTATCTAACTGAAACCGATAAGCACGGGTGTGCGGTTGACTCAGTAAACGCTGATCTCATTAGAAAGTCTAGGTATTTAATAAACATCATTTTATACCTTACACTGATCTTAATTAAAAAATATTCTTGTTATTGTTATCCGATTATGTATCATAGATGTCGTGTTGAATAAACTCATCGGCGTTGTAGGATTTGTTACCTTTCAAAATGTCATTGTAAAGCCTTTAATGTTTATTCCAAAATTTCAATAGTAATTAGTTATAAGTGATTGTTAAAATCGTGGATATGTTTGACCGTCTATAGGATACTATTAATAATGCCATGTAAAAATTGTTTTTATGTCCGACGCGGACATGTACTTAGAATAATAAAAGTAATAAAAACAGTGTCTTACTTTAATTTCCCGATAGTGAATACTTATTCAGGAATCAAAAGAAAAGTCAATTAGATTTTATTATTAAGCATCGCCGCGAATTGCAGCGCGATGCGGTCGTCATGGCAGTTTAGCGACGGGTGGGGTCAAGGTTACCGAGGTGGGGTAATGACATAACGGGGAGTGGAGGGAGAGGGGAATAAGTCGGGCGATCAGATGTATGCGTGTGTGAGTTTGGAGTGATAACACCGATGCGCGGTCAGTGACTTCTACAATCAGGGTTGTTACAGTTAATTAATTTTTTAATTTTTGTCGTCAAAAAATGCTTAGATTCGTATTTTAAAATTATGCCATTTCATTCAAAGTCTGATATATATACACGGCTTTAAATGTTACAACATCTTTCTGTAACACCCTGTATAAAATATAAGTATGTATATTTTATATTATGTATGTGTGTATGTATCGTGCATTGATATGTTTACTTTATTATAAATATATGTATGGTATTGTATAGTTTTATCAGATATTATTAGTGTAGTATTTTGTTGGTAGATTTCATATGTAATGTACATATTTGAAAATATTTTGATTGCTTTATTTTTTTTCTGTTGTTGTAAATTTGTTTTAAATGCACCTACCCTAACTTTTCTGGACCACCCCAAGGTTGACTGGGAGATAATGCTGACGGCATTAAGTCCGCCTTTGTACACAAATGTTTGTGCAGAAAGTTTAAATAAATAAATAAATAAAATTTTTAACACCCGGCATTTTGAACCCTTCCAAGCGTTCATGGTCACGGGACAGACAATCGGGTCATAAATTAAAAATCAAAATGAAAACGGGATAAAAATAGTTTATGGAAAACGAGTTTTATTTAATATTATAATAGAGTTTTATTTATTGTAATAATATCATCGGCCTCGATATATCGAGGAAAAAAAACATTATAATCGATGAAAATGTACGATTCCATCTCGGCGAAACTTTTCAACGCGGTGTAAAATAGCATTCATTATTTGAAACGCTATTTATTTTAATGTTTATAAAAACTGTGCCCCTTGGTAATAAAAAGAATGTGGTATGGGAGTCCTTTTAACAAAACAAACAGTGATCAACTAATTAATGATTTGGTCGTCCGTTGGTGCCCAAATCGAATCGAGTTAAAAATTGTAACGCGTACCTTAGAAAAATATTACCTAAAACTGGTAACACTATATTAAACTCTTAATGTGAAAGGTCGGCAGTAGATAAAAAAGTTATTTCGTTGTCAAAATTAGTTGTCACTTTTTGAACTTAGGCCAGTCAAGACAAGACGATCGCATTCTATCAAATGTTGCAAAATTCTGGCTAGCATACTCAACCATTTTTTTACTTTCAGTTAGCAGTGCAAAAAGTTTTGTGTGTTCAAAATGGCTAAAGCTAGTGAACCTCCTAAGGAGCGTTACATCCCAAATTCACTGAAATTTCTGTTTGGTGGACTCGCTGGGTACAAATTTTATATTTTAAAACGTCCTTTGGTGCTTTGAAAGTCGTTATGGAGAATATTAGGTGACTTCATTCGAAGAGATCAGTTTTTGCATCAGTATTTTCAGAGTTAAAAGCTATTATAAATTTTTATAAATATTTAAAAAATATTTGTCGCCAATATTTAAGCTCTTTGAAATCAATACATTTCATATTTTTTACGGTTCATTTTATGACCATATACGTTTCAATTATGTAATAAACTTTGTTTTTGTGATTAGAAAGTAATATAATAAGTACATAATTATGTATATCATTCTTCCTTACTATTGGTTCCATCTTCCAAAATGATAAGTACAGAAAAGTAAATTAATGTGACAATTTATAATAATTTATCCTTTTTTTACCAAATTTGGCTGGCTAGGAACTTTCAACCATGAATATTCTCCAAAATAGCTATAAAAGTTACAGAATTAGTTCATATTCTCCTTTGTATGCTATTGAGACTGACTATCAAAAACAAAAGTTTAATCTGGTTAATATTAAGTCTTTCCTCATGTCATTTATTGTGTCAATATTCAGTTATACTCCTTATGCCTTATGCCAATTAATGACAATGAAATCGGACTAGTCATACCATTTAAATTTTGTATATTTTTAGTAGAAATTATATTTTAAATTGATCTTCAAAGAAGAATATTAGTGATCTAAAATGTAGCAGATTGAAAATAATATTTTTTTTAATAGAGGTTTTATGGCCTGGTAACAAAAAATAATGATAATGTACCTGCAAACTGCAGTTTTCAAAATATAATGAAATTATTTTACAAAATAAACAGGAACACAAAATATCTGCATTCTTAGATATAATCTATTCTAGTTCTCAAGCATTGGCTTTGTTCCACATTTTCTGCCTTGCAGTGTCCACGTAAAAATAACAATATTGCATTATTTCTGTTTCACTATATAATAATGTAATATGCACCATCTGTCTTCTACCTTTATAAAAGTTATGATTTATTAGTAACTTTTTATACGTGATACTAAGGCAGATATAACAATAAATTAAGATAATAATTTCTTATATATATGTGAACACAACACATTGTAAAATTATTTTTATAGACTTATTTCATTTATTTTAAATTTAAATTTAAGACTAAATATAATTAAGATACCCCCCTTCATCCTGTTATTTTTATTTCTAAAGTAGTCGTGTGGGTATAAAGTTCACCATGACTTTTTTATTGGTCGATATCTTCATCTGGTTTAATCAGTTGTCACACTAACAAGGATGGTTATTAAACGGGCATTTCGTAAATAGCATGGCGGCGACATGCGTGGTGCAGCCGCTCGACCTGATCAAGACGAGGATGCAGCTCGGTGCCAAGGGACGCTCCTCGTTCACGGTGGCTGGGGAGATCGTCGCGAAGGAGGGGTTCATGGCCCTCTACACTGGCCTCTCTGCGGGCCTACTTAGACAGGCCACATACACGACCACACGCCTCGGAGTGTACACATGGCTGTTTGATTCCTACAAGCAGTGAGTACAGTCTTTCATCTTACTGTCACTCATTATATTGTAAATGATGCTAATAATAATTATTAAGATTTTTAGCAGTTATGGGGGATACATATATAATGATGGATATATACATACAAATCAAAGACATAACCCAAATTTTAGGCTTCACCGTTGTAGGCTTAAAATAGAGTTACGACTATGGTTAATCACGCTGACTTTATGTAGCTTAGCAATTACATTTCGCCGTCAAGATCTTGTTAGTTCCCTGGGTCATTAAGGCAACAGCAGATCCTACTCAAAGTCAAAGTCAAATATCTTTATTCAATATAGAAGCATTCACTTACTTATTGATAATCAAAAAACTCTACCACCGGTACTAACGTGACCTGTACATTGGCAGACTAATTAAATGTAAAGTTTACATTAAAGATATAAATATCTTTTATGGTATACCTTTTATAGAATGAGGGGGCTAAGATTTTGTGATTCGCGATATACTGTATTTTAAAATAAACCGTATGCATGTTATATACCGCACTAGCTGTGCCCGCGACTTCGTCCGCGTGGAATTTAAAATAAAAAAAAAACTAAAATAAAAGTAGCCTAAATTACTCCTTATTACATCAGCTATATGCCAGTGAAAGTCCCGTCCAAATCGGTTCAACCGTTACAGAGATTTGTCGGAACAAACAGACAGACAGACAGACAAAAATTAATTAAATAAAAAATGTTATTTTAGTATATGTACCGTGTATACATCCATATGCATTTAATAAAAAGCGGTTATTTTAATATTACAAACAGACACTCCAATTTTAGATATCTGTATAGATAATCTGTGGAGCGCTACTATTTGACTGGTTTGCGCGGGAAAATATCACGTGGAGGATTTGGAAAAAAAAGTTTCTTAATTTCGGTGTCTGGCAGTAGATTCCGTTGTTGCACGGATGGGCAGGCTCTTTCGGGGAACTACCACAGAGTCAATTATAATTATCTAGTCTATCTATCTATCTCTAGTCTATCGGCGACTTACATAAGTTGAACTATCTTCATAGAAAAATAGGCTAAGTGCTATCTTTTACTACCTATTTGTTGTTACAGCGGCAACAGTAATAAATCATCTTAATTTCAACCGTCTATCTATTACGGTTCATGAGATACAGTTTGGTTACAGACGGACTGACAGACAGCGGAGTCTTAGTAATGGGGTCCCGCTTTACCCTTTGGGTAGGGAACCCTAAAACAATATGTTAAATTTCGACCGCAGGCTATTAATAGCTTGCAACGTGCATTGCACTTGTTGATTTAAGGCCCATTTACACGGTGCAAGTTTCTTGCCTGTTTTATACAATTAAATTGAAGCAATAAATGAGTTGCATTGTCTAAACAGCACATAACATTCTTGACTGTTGAACAAGACTTGCTTCAAGTTTTGTTTCAAAACTTTCCTTGGTGTAAACAGCACACACAATAATTTCTTAAGCAATTCTTGTATTCAATTGCATTCTCTCTTCCTTGGCAAAAATTTGTGCAATGAGTGAGGGTATTTAATCATTGCTGTTCTTTTGAGGATAGAAATATTGAGAAAAGGTCGTAAAAAAAGTTGGATAAAAATATGAATAATAATATATGGATCATAATAAATAAATCTCAATGAAATGTATTTAATCGGCATAATCTAACTTGAACACTTATTATTGAGCCATTTTTTTAAAAAAACAGCCCTTTGTAAAACGTTCAACACTTGCATGAAAAATTTGTCAACGCAAATACGTGCAATACTTGAAGCAACACGCCAATAAATTGTACACGCACATACAAGCATGTGTTTAGACAAGTCAAAACTTGAAAGCAATAATCGCCTAAACATAATTGCATTGGTGTAAACAAAAGACCTTTGCAATTATTTCCTGTCAAGACTTGCATACAATAATCGCATTCATTTTTTTTTACTATATCTGCGTGTAAACTGTTGCTTACAATTCTTGATGGTCAATTATTGCGGGCAACTTATTGCATTCAATTATTGCTCTTGTATGTACAAGAAAATGGCATCGTGTAAATGGGCCTTAAATAGCGTTGTTCCGTAATCCCCATCAATTTCGCATCACGCGATAAGATATCAGCCTCTCAGACGAATCGGGGATAGTACTCCATATGGTCTATCAACGTCGGATACTCTTCATTTTGGTGCAGCAGAACTTCTCTTGCGTAAACAGTAAAGCTCGGTAAAAGCCTTTCACACCCTTATTGAAGACGCCCACCCTAATCATAAGGACGACGAAGTTCATTAAATCCGGATCCATTTAAAATAGATTGAATTGAAACGACGTGAAAGTCTTAACGCGGTATGGTTTAAAACTTGCCAAGTGCGAGTAGGGTTGCACACGAAGGGTTCCGTACCACAACCTATAAAAACGGCAAAAAGATCAAATCTGCTGTATCTGTTTTTTGGTATTTGTTATTATAGCGGCGAAGGAAATACATGATCTGTGTAAATATCACGGTTCATGAGATATAGCCTGGCGACAGACGGACAGACAGACAGACAGCGGAGTCTTAGTAATAGGCTACAGTTTTACCCTTCGATTTTTTATAAATGCACCTACCTAAACTTTTCTAGACCACCCCAAGGTTGACTGAGATAATGCTGATGGCATTAATTCCGCCTTTGTACATTCATGTGTGTGCATAAAGAATAAGTCAATAAATCAATGGAAGCGAGTAATACTCGTACCCTCCTGTCGATACCGGTATGATGTCGCTCTGCGAGATTAGTTTTTAAATGTTGCGCACACCTTACTCGGGCAAGCTAAGGTGTTGAAGAAGTACTTTTTAAACGATGTAGTTGCATTGAGGGTTAGTGGTTAGAGAAAATGCAATAACTGTATTAAAATTACACGTGTAATATGTTATTCCACGCTAGATAATTGTTTGGCTTTTTAACCGACTTAAAAAAGGAGGTTTTCAATTCGGTTGTTTGATTTCGTAGTTTATGAATCGATTTTGGAAACCCTTTTTGCATTGGGCTAGGTTTAGCTCACGCGTCCTATATTAATTCGTTTGTATTGGATCTTGAAATCGACCATACACCTGGGAAGAAACAATACGAAATCGAATAGGAAAATCGATTAAAGCGAGTGAGAAATTTAGTAAGTCTTGTGTTTTGTTAGTAAAAATATTATATAACGATATAACATCCAATAGTAAACATATCACTTTACATACACTTAACATCAGGTGAACCGTCTGCTCGCTTGACAACTTTTCACATAAAATGATATCACATAATAGATTGTCTTGGATAGATGCGATTGATTAACGGAATACAGTTTGTCGATGGTATTCGAAGGAGGCTTATCTGGTTTTTTTATTAATTTACTTATCGTCTTGCGTTCTCATTGCACGCGTGCACAGCGTGGCATGACGACACAGGTTAGCTATCTACGTTTTCTTTAAAATTTGTAGGAAAAATACGCGCCAACGTCTTCCGGATTCGCGCCCAGGAAACGTGGGTTCTATTCGCGCAGCGGCGAAACACTCCGTCCATTTCTATCTACAAAATTTTAATGTTTGGTCTATAACTTCAACTTTTTCTATTTGGGACAGTTTAAAAATATATATTTACTGCACGATTTCCAGAACGCTTTGAGATTCAACCGGTTGGTTGCTAAGCATGTTACGTGTTTGATCCGTATAGTAGTCTTGAGGCGGGGGGGACTTTATTTCATATTCATCTCTAATTTGTGAAATATTTTTTGACGTTTAACGATCTTTTCCCATAGTGCGGAGTTTTTTTTTAATACAGATAACACGGTCACTAGTGATGTAATTTCATTTTGAGAAAGCGTCTTGAGAATAATGAGATGTGTACGAATTAAAAATTGCGATCGCTCACATTATCTCGACGTCGATTTCTTCGCGTGAACGTAATGGCCTGTTTCAATATCGTGTTCATCCACTTTAGATACGAGGACAGTTTTGCAATTTTCCCGATACGCTTATTAAGCCACGATGATACAGATTATGTCCTTTGACGATGGATCGTCAGGATTATCAGCGTTTGATATGAAAAAACGTGCTATTCTATGTGTTGTCGCTTGTTGCGTAACATTTATAACGGTTGATTGCCAATCGTCGTTATCTGTCTCTATGTACCAGATTGTTAAACTGAAAAGTAACTAATTATTTTTTTTGCGAAAAGTTGTCAAACGAGCAGACGGTTCACCTGATGTTAAGTGAATACCGCCGCCCGTGGACATCTGCCACACCCGACGGTTACAGATGCGTTGACAACCTTTTGAAAATTGGGCTCCGGCTACCTCACTCACCAGACGGAACGCGAAAGTATTGAGAGGTCCTGGTACTTACCCGGACGGACCTGCCCATTCGTGCAACAGCCGAGGGTGCTGCGTGCTGCGTGGCGTTTGAGCGGTTGTATAACTTTTAAATTAAAAATTTAATGACAGGTTGACTTGGAGACAGAGACCGAATAAGTGACTGTTAGAAACTTTTTGAATTTTACTCGTTCTTCTGCTTCTTCTTTGTCTTCCCCTCACTAATGAGGATCGTGACCACATATGATTTGTCTCTATTTGCTTCTGTCAGCGCCAGTTCAATATATCGTTGTAGAGTTTCTCCTGTTGCCGCTACAATACTTTTACTCTGTTTTGTTGGAATTCGGCCCCCGAAGCGCTTCCCCTGCACCTGTCCTCATTCATCTGCTTCTCCAACTCATGCATTTAAAGCTTGGCTGACGTTCTCGGCATGGAGAGTAGTACTTAAGTCGTTTTTTGATGTGGAGCTCTTGGAAAACTGACGTGTTTGTCCTCATGGCTGTCCATGGTATCTTAAGCATTCCCCTTCAGCTTCACATTTCAAAAGCACTTATTTTGCTCATATCTCGACTTTTCGGCCACCAGATGTGAGCTCCGCACAGAAAAATAGAAAATACTATGGAATGCACTAGACTAGACGTATCTTGGAAGTTCTACGTATACTCCTATTCCTACAACGCC